CATTTTGGGGGCCAAACAATCTCTTTTTTCAAAAGATACTGTGGAAGGGGGCACTTTTAATGCTAATGAGCTGGTCAGAAATTCTCACTTGAATTAGTGGTCTGCACCCTCAAAGACCCGGGGAGTTGATCCTGGCGACGATTTACACAATCTCACCATTTTGGGGGCCAAACAATCTCCTTTTTCAAAAGATACTGTGGAAGGGGGCGCTTTTAATGCTAATGAGCTGGTCAGAAATTCTCACTTGAATTAGTGGTCTGCACCCTCAAGTGTACCTGGTGCGATCGGTTAGTGTGGTGCTTGTTCTCAGTTGTTGGAGCTGCCGATTATATCAAATCTCCATGAAGATTGGGGAATCGTTAGACGGTCTCGTTTATTTAAGAAGCGGTAGATTATAGGGTTAGGGAACCCGTGTGAACCAGTTAATTGGGGAATTAGCGAAGCTTAGACTAGAAGGATTGTGTGCCGTTGTTCCATGCTTTTTAGCATAGCGACGGTTGGTTGCGGTCCTGGTCTGGGAGCTTGCTTTCCTCGTTCAAGTGAGGTTTACTGGGTGCAGGTTTCGGTTAGAGTCTGGTGAGGACTATTATAATCGCCCTCTTAATCAACTTACCTGTGTTATTTCATAATAACTTGAAGTGGGTGAGGGTTATTCAAGTCACCTTAAACCTTGTTGCAATTTGGGAACTGTGTTGCTTCGAAAGGCAGTATAGATTATTCTTGTATAAGTGTACCCTGTTGTGTTGGACAATTACGAAGAATGTAATTGCTTGTGTGATCAAGACTTACCAGTTATAAGCCATCGGTAGATTATTTATTTAGACTTGAGGGTTACCCTGATCACTGTGAGGTTTACCTGGTTATTGTAAGGGTTACCCTGATCACCGTGAGGGTTATTCTGGTGTAGGTTAAGGATAAGGCTGATTAATCACGTTCGTGGTACAGTTGACCACGTAGGACTAGATCCCCGTGAGGATAATTTTTGTATGTAGTTAATTGCTGTTGTATGTAAAAAACGGATAACTGAGCACTGACATTGAAGTTGTCCATCGCGGCTGGAAGAGTCGATGCATGAAGGGCTTTCATAACTGCAGCCAATCTAAGACTATATTTAAATGTTTTTACATGTATACCTGGTGAGATTTTCTGCGTGATGTTTTGCTAGTGCTGCCACTTCTTCTGCATCGGTGTCTCTGCAAGCATAGTTGAAAAGTTGGTTGCATGTGTTCTGGGATTCAAGTCTTGAAAGCCTGTTATTACATGTTGCATTGGTGCGAACCTGCTATCGTTTGATGTTGATTGGCCGCCATATCCCTTTCCTCTCTTTAAGTTGTATGTACAATTGGCAGGCATGTAAAGTTTGGATTACTTTGGTTGAACCTATATATTACAGTTCGCTTTCAAATGCATGCAATCATTTACATCTAACAGAAATGTCATGTGAATAGAAAGGCTGTTCTTTTTTCAGGCCTGAGAATCTGTTGAAATAAAAGGGACAATAAAGGCAGTTCAATTCCTTATAAACTATACGGTGGCGGAAACCTATCTAATCTTTGTCGGTGGGAAATGTAGGTGTCAGGGCTTTTCCCAGACTTCCCCGACAAGGACTTCCACAGGATGCCAATAGTTCTATTATCCGTGATTCTGTTGTCAACGATTCGTGTAGCCGGTTGCAATGAACTGCCGGGCCACATTGTTAATTCCTTCGTATTGACAATGTCAATAGTTCCATTATCCGTGATTCTGCTGTCAACGGTTGTGTATCCGGGTGTCAACGAAATTGCCTAAAGAATTCCCTTGTATTCAGGTGAAAGTAGCAGGAGCGCATAATATTGAAAGGAACAGATCAATGAAAGCTTCAATTTCATTTTGTGATCACGAAACTGTGAAGGGAATTCTAAGTAAAAAAGCTCCTGGTTAGATCGAGCCCATCACATAGTGGCTTGACATCAGCAGGTAGGTGTTAGTCTCTCAGTTTGTGTAGAAATATGCGACCCACCATTCCGAAATCAGGCTGATGTATGATGTTTGGCAATTCCTCTGAGTCTCCCCGACTTTTTTTTACACTTCAGAGTAATCCAACGTCTACATTCTGTCTTGAGAAAGCTGAAGTAATAACGGGCAATGACAGAAGAACTTCTAGGAACATGACTGAACAGTCATACTGAGTTTCACTAGGCCTACTTCAGCGATATGACGTTTACCTATACTTCACCCTGGTTTTGGAATGGTTGGTCCCATGTTGCTGTAGTAATTTTGTGTGGATATTCGCAAGTGCAGGTAAAGTGTAAATAAGCAGATAGGGATAACTATTAAGCATTACGCACTAGCTGTAAATAACAAAATGTAAATTTGAAGCTCTGTATTAAACAGGGGGAAATCTAATTCCTCTACGTCATGCAAAGCATTTGAAGCAAGATATGGGACGGGTAGCGCCCCCCCCCTGTTGGTCCTTGTTTGACAGAATCTGAGGAATTCTTTTCAGACATTTGAGGGGGGAGATGATTTGGATAAGAATAGTCTAGAGTGTATCATGGTTTGGACATGTACCTTGCCAAGTGTAAAGCAAAGTATTTTTTCGGTAGTATTAATATTTGTTTTCACATTTGTGTGTTCTTCCCAAATCGGTAAATGAAACGAGGGAATGTACCTCAGCAAACTGTATAGAAAGGTATTTTGGGTGAGATGTAATTTAGGATTAACCCCAACAGTCCCCAGTCCTCCAACAGGTGAAGGATTGAGGAGGGTTAGGGTTAATATTTGCACGGTTTGTTCTGCATGTACACGTGAGAGTGTTACTATCTAACTGAAGGCCGCATATCACGCTGTTTCATGATTTTATATGAAATATGAAAGAGAATCCTATGCAGCCTTCATCACTTGTATCACGGACCATTTACCCATCTACGTGGAGGAGCCCTACTCCGAGGCTGTGAGCCAATAAATATCATCACATGTTAGGATTTGTTCTGTCAGCTTGTCATGCTCAGATTGTTGTTCCATGCCACCTTGCTGTAGCCTGTGGCTTTGATGTACTGTAAATGCCACAACGCAGTAGCGCCTGCGCAGTACGAACTAACCTTTGTCATCTTATGAATGGTGCTCGGTCAGCTGAGTAATCTTTTTTTTTAATTTCACCAAATCATAGACCTTGTATTTTATTGTTTGTTTCAGGGCATGGCCAAACACATGTAGGTGGCAATGATCAATATAAAGCCACAGAGTGAGGCAGAAACATTTACTTTATCCTGGAGTTTTAGTACTTGACTTTTGCTATCTGGCCTTTTCTCTCCTCAACAGGTTTTCTTCCGTTTCCCCACATGCGACTCATTCGAATGGTGAGGAATCAGTGGTTGATTCTGTACCGTTAAAATGTCTCGACGCACACAGTCATTACCGTAAGTGGCGTTTCAGCACTTTAATTTTTATTGCGGGCAATTTCAGTTTTTAATTAATCTGTTACTGTGATTCAGCTCAACCAAATCACTTATTGATTCTGCAAAAGTTCTCTGTTTGTATTTTTTTTCCTCACAACAATCCTCTGCAGCTGTTCTTCGAGAGAGTACAGCATATCAATTTGAAATGTGGCTCTTGAATCAGTCTTGGTACCAAGATGCTCTGCATATGCATACCGGTGGGGGGGGGAGTGATTCCATCCCTCTTATGAAACTTGGTGGAAATGATTGGTGGAATGCTAGAAAAAGCATACCGCGGCATATTTGTGATGTCAGTATATGACGTTCATCAGAAAGAAAAATGGAAAGCAATGGTTAAAAAGGGGAATGTTATAAGGCTGTAGTAGAAATAAACAAGATTCCAAGTTCATAACTTGTGATCTGATAAACAGCATGGGCAACACTCCAGTTTCCAAGTGTAAGATTAAATGGCCTATGTACATCTTGGGTATACCGGGATCGCATCAGTGAATTAATTTAACTCAAAAACAGAAGCATTTTTCTGTATCCGACAAAATTACTGAAATGGGCGGAGTGCCTACGGGACAAACACAATACATGCGATGATGACGAGACTTGTCCGATGAGTCTGACATTAGAATTTGTGACATCACCACACTGGAAGCTGTCATATTTCATGCTGACATCTAGTATGGTAGTTCCTACTATCTAGCATTTCCAACGTTCATGTAAGCACTGTCTTCTTCTTTTGATTGCTGAAACTTATGAATATAGCATTTGAGGACCATTGATAACGCCGTTTTATTTACTGCTTGTTTTTTGTTTACTTGTTGCCTTCATTGACACTAGATATTGTGATTGTTACACTTGTGATATTTAAGTGCTATATAAAGTCTACATGATTTCATTCATCATTTTCCTTTTAGAGAACGTATAATTAATGATGGACGGGACGATCCAGACAGGCCTGGAATACCGACGCTCCATCAAATTAATGATTTCATCAGTGCCATACCAAGTAGGCTGCTTCAGAATGCAAGTCCGCCAAGGAGTCCTGTCCGGTAGGCTTAATGAGCCAGTTTGATAACCCAACAGCACATGCCCAAAATGAACTGCGTCCGCAGTCAATTGGGAACAACAACACGCATGTGCGAGTCTGTCCTATCATCAGCGTGGCCATACGTTGACCCCCATGCATGCTTTGTTTCCGAATAAGCTTATGGGCCCCTTTTTGAAATAGCGGACTGGCTCACTAGTTTATCACTCTTCACTATTTTGTTCAAAGTAGCTGTCACACTGGTACCCTTAACCAATTTGCCCATCAGCCCATCCAGCCAAGTTGCAAAGAAGGTGACCCACCGTTGGCTCTTTGTGAAACCTTTACATTGATAGCAGATTACTTTCTGGGTGGAAGTCCTTTGTGGGTCAGTTGCACTCTAAAGCTGAAGGCCCTTTAATTTTTTGTTTTGAAATGCAAGACTGGCTTAATATCTGACCTTTAAAAGGTCAAGGTTTGTCCCACACACCAGCTGAAAAGGCCAGTCTATTGAAAACCTTTAACCTCAACTTTTATTACAAAATTATCGTAAATTTAATTTAATGCTTCATTTGTGAATAATTATTGCATGCAAGTATTCTGTTCAATTAAACCAGTTTTGTGCTCTTTAAAAAACCAACCAGGGATAGATCCAGTAAGGTTATGAGGAATTGGATAGACCCGCCCAAGTTAATGAGTGTGAAGAACTCTTTTCAAGATTTCTCATCGTTTTTTTAGGACGGGTTCCATGATTAATTGAAACAAATGAAACCAATTAAAAAGATATAATGTTGATAATGGAAAAAGATTGATAGGACATTGACTAAACAATAAGAAGAATTCATTCTGAACGCAGAGCTTTACATTTATCTCTAAGTGCTGAACAAAAACCAGTTAATTTTAAGTACCAAAACTTAAAATCTAGATCTTCTAAAAAGGCATGTTTTGACCTGTGAGTTAAAAGTCCGTCACTATTAAATATTTCTGAACGGAACCGGTAGTCTCTTCCACAGTAAAAGCACGAAACCATAAGATACCGTACATGGCATATGTATTAAAAGGATTAACTGGTGTTTTCAACATGAACATTAATATTTGCATGCAGTCAAAGTGACATTGAAATGAATAGGACATCCAGCGATGCAGAAGGAGAGTCTGCCAAGGAAAGCTCTCCTTGTGTCATCAAATTTGATGGTTTGGAAGGAAATGTAGACGTCAAATATAGAAAGGTAAAACATCTTTTGTACTATTTCACAGAGCAATTTATTTTCAATTCTCGTCATTCATTTTATCATGCTAAATTGTTAAAATGGTAAGAAATATTAAGTAGGTGTTTTCTCAATACATATCAAATATATAGCAATAAATGTGTAACTAATTAATTCACTGAACAGAAACGATGTACTTAATACAAATGCTTTGTACAATGAACCAACAGCATAGCGAGACAACAGAGATGAAAGGGTGGGGGTGGGGTAATCAGGGAATAGGGAAGGACGAAATTCTTCGAGAGATATGGAAACAAGACAGGTAATTAGCCTTTAAATTGAGGTAAGACGGGCACAGTTGTGTCGGGGTTGCTGTAGAGTGGTAGATTGCAGCGGGATTGGTACGTGTGCGCATGTATGAAAAAAAATGGTACAGTGAGAATAAGTTAAACGGAATAAACATGAAAAGGCTTTGTTGGGGACACATGGAATAACATGATACATTTATACTTCGTGGGGTAAAAAAAGAAAAGTAGAAACAGACGAATTGCAGGAAGCTACGTTGCATAGGTATGTCGGCGACGTAATACCTGTTTAAACGAATTGAAAGTGTGTAGGATCATCGTTCACTGAGAAGAGATGACTCAGCAGGGAAGTCACTAAGATAGACTTTAATATACCGGAGTCGAACACGCGGTGTTTTGGATGTCTCATTGACATCTGATACTGTCATCACACGGTTGCAGACGTCACACGTGCCAAAAAAAAGGTTTTGGAGAATTTGCCTTTTCACTTCTAAATCAAAGCCCCCAAATGTAGCCTCACCCCACAGCGCATGATTGCTCATTAGCTGGACCTAGGCTTGGAGTCATTATTATTTTTTCAAACCTGTAAGCAACTATAAACAGGAACAGTTGGCTCGTGGTAGCATGGCTCATACGAACACAAGGGAAATCTACCTGGTTAATTGGTACAACTTTCTCGTCTGTCCAGTGTGTGATGACCAGCTCTTCAGGGAGTAGCAATGACATCCTGGACACCCTTACTGATAAATTGAAATGGGCCTTGAAATTGCCGAAGCTGCTCATCTGCATCCTCGGGGGTGAGGATGCAGTAATGATGTACGACCAGGAGCAAGAAATCTGTAAAGGTCTTGTCAAGACAGTCCTCAGTAATGGTAAGTGTATTCAAACCAAAAAGTAAAAAAACCAAAGCCTAGGACCACCAAGCCAAAATGCAATATAATCAAACCAAAAGGTAAGGAAGGGTGAGCACATCTGGCAGTAGGTATTTTCCACTTTGTGCCTGCTTTCGGCTATTTTTTTATATAATGCTCTGTGACTGTCAATTACAAGTACCATACTATGAGGTATTTATATCTAATTTCAAATGCCTTTTATCCTAATTATACTTCAAAATCACAGCTCGTAACAATATATAATACACTTATGACCTTTCTTTGTCTTTAAGGAATGAAGTTTTTTTAATCCAATTTGTTGCAAATTATGCATGATGCAGCTGATGCGCATTTACCATCTTAAAGTGTGGTCTAATTATTTCGTCCCAGCCTCTATACCTGAATGGATAGTATAAGGGTACCAAGTTAATACTATGAAACATCTTCGTCATAAATTAAACCAGCATGAAGGTTGATTTGGAGGGACACCCTAGTTGTGCTGGTAATGTTTAGATAAAAATAGACTGCTCCATCTTTTCTCAAAATTTTGAAAACATTTCCCCACCAAAACAATCAGTTGTCCCTACCTACACTACAATGAACCAAAAAGCATCCCGACCTTTTCACTCCACAGTACAAAGATTTCAGAACAAAATTTCTTGGGGGAAGAGGAGGCCACATTTCTTTTTGTTTTCCCCCGACACTTTTGAAGGCAGCAGCCCTTGCATTGAGTCTCTTGTTTGCCTGAACTAGATGTTTGGTTATTGACGAGTGGACTCCAGTGTGGACTAATGAAGAGCATTGGCGAGGCTCTGACAGAGCACGCCGCTGGTCATGCTTTGAGCATGCGAAAGAATCTGGTGGCAATAGGTGTAGCACCCCTCGGTATCCTACAGCACAAAGAGGAATTTCGTCCTGACAACCCAATCAAACTGAGGCAACGCAGAAAGCATGTGACGCAGAAGGTAAACAAAAAGGGAAAATATTGTCGTGGGTATTTTGCTCTTCACATGCACCTGACATATATTTATGAAAACTCTGCACTCGTTATTAATCGTCTGAAAGCTTTAGGCAGCTTAACTCACAAGCTTTAACACTCAGGTGCTTAAAGCATAATTTGTACCAGAAGTTTGATTTTTGGGCAAATGAAAGTACAATAATAGATGTATTAGGACAATTACCACTAACATCAAGATGTTTCTACCTTAAGCCTGTCAATGAGCATCATTGCTAGTTGTATTTCCAATCTGACTTTTATCTAGTGTATGCCAGTAATTGAGCTGGACTATACTGTCACAGATGACCAAAGTGGCAACAGACTGGATCCAAACCATACTCATTTCATCTTGGTGGGCGACAAGGAGCAAGGCAAGGGTACCGAGGGGAAGTTGAGGAGTCAACTGGTCAATAAGATAAAGTCGTGGAAGATAGAGGGAACCACAGACAGCCATTGTAAGCGAGGGTCACAGATGTAATTATTTTCAAAGATAAAAAGTATAGATAGTTGTGGCATCCCCTTTATTTAGTCTGTACTTCACATATACAGATCCCCGGCTGTTGGTTTATAGTGCTTAATTCTACCAATTCCGTTGTTGTAGAAGTTAGTGCACGGTCCACTTACCTCATGGGCTCCATCCGAGTACAAATGAGAACGGGTGCTTTATTTTCTAGCAATGACTACCCTTTTGCCGATTATCTACAAAACAATTTGCACATGTTGTTGACTTGTTTCCTTTGTCCTTCATTTTTTCTTTGTTTATTCAGTGAAGGTATACAAAGATAACTGGATAGACCTATTCCGCATCCTAGCTTCGACTATCCCTAAAAATTACGAGGAGATTGGGCATGAATTTGTGTGATGGATGGCACATCGTCACATTTACACTTTTCACAGGCTACATGCATTCACAAGCATGTCACTCATTTCTTAGCATAAGTATATTCAAACAAACAGCAAGAGTTCGGCTTGCAATAGTAACAAAGAGTATAACTTTCAAACAGGCTGGGAGTCTCGTGTACACACATAGTGTGCATGCAACTTTTTCTGCATCCACGACTATTGGAGATATAGCAGCATCTGTGATTGCAGACTTAAACAGTGGTTCAGGGAGTGTGTTGCACTTACACATTTAAATAATTAAATAAACCACAAACCATTACAGTTAACGCGGTGACCTCTGTACTACTTGTGTGACCTCATATTTGATTTTTTTACATTCTCGATGTCCCAGCCCGAACTCCTACCGTCTATCTTCTCTTCGGTGGGAATGCTACAGTTTTTGAGACACTTTTGGATGCTGTGAGGAACAACATTCCAATCATTGTCTTTCCCGAGTCCAAAGGAGCAGCTGAAGTACTTGTTGATGTTATACAGATGGATGATCAGCGCTACGCTCCGTGAGTCGACATTTCTTTCCCTTGGTAGCTTAACAGACATCAATTCAGCATTATTATCACGGGCATTACACAATAGAGCGAAATCTGTCGACCCAATGCGCGTTTGGAAAGGGTCGACAGAATTTCACGCACCGTGATTGGTCAACGCCCTGCAAATTCTTGGAGACGCGCTATTGTGAATCGCCTGTATTCATACCAGATAACATTGAGACTCAAAGGGAGTATCAACCCCCCTCCAATTTTTTTTAGACTCTCCCGGTCCCTTTTTAACCTCACATGGATCTCATGTGTCACCTGCGTCAAACACTTTCATGTTGTCACACTACGGCACTCACCCATAGCCGTAGAGCAGGTAAAAAAATCCATGTCCACCTTTAATTGTGGAATGGGTACTGTTTTCTCCTTATCTATCCCTCCCTGATCAAAAATGGCCTTTGCTGCACTGCTAATATCACTCAAACTTATTGATGATAGTGTTTTTGTCCACTCAATGTGGTAATTTAACAGGGGTGAGAACTTCCATAATGGCGTTAAAAAACTTTTAAAGGAGAAGTTGAAGCTGCGAACCATGGAGGAAGTTATTGACATCAAGGTTAAGATTCAGCGCACCATCTATAATCATCGTCATCTCATCAACATTGAACCCGTGTCACAGTGCCTGAATAGTGCAATACTCCGTGCATTAATGAAAGGTAAAATTTGTTCAAAGCTTTCTTAATTTAACTGAAGGTTTGTTTTTTGTCGTCTTTTTGTTTGCTTTACTTATGGGGTCCTTAACCGGTATTTGTTTCAATTTAGAAAACTCAGATTAGATTTTTACAGGTTATAGTGATTGGATTACAATATCATTAAGTTACAACTTAATGTTAAAACAACCAATCAAATTAACCTCTTAATTAATATATACTGACTAGATAGCTAAAAGAGATCAAGGATAGCTCATTATAGGCCACCCCCTTGGGGGAACAAAATTTCCACACATATTGAAAGATGGATGTGTTAAAGCAGTCTCAAAGGTCATTGGCTGTGCTATTGTAACCGTTACAGTTCACATCAATACTTAAACCCCACAAAAAAGCAAACCCAAAGCTGCCTTTCTGTCTCACATCCTTTGCAAATTTCAATCGCTGCAGCTGAACAACACGTGGAACACCAGTCAAGCCAGTTAATGCGTCTCGCTGTTCTGTGGAATCTTTTGGACCTAGCCAAGTCCAAGTTCGAAAAGACCAACCCGATTTGGAAGGTAAGTGTCAAAATCTATTATGTAAATCAGCAAACAGAATCGCAAACCCATGACTCCAATTGCACCATTGGACTGATGATACGCACATGTTACAATGACCAATTGGTCTTTGAGCAATAGGATGTTATACTCGTGACTTGCCGAAAGCATGGGCACGAGTATGGTATCTCCTTTGTCTCGATTAGTCTATGTAACAAAAGCATTAGAACTAAGCTCGAATATAAGTCTGACAGATGCGTTAGTGCATCCATGAAGCTTCACTATAAAATTTAGTTGCGCACACTGTGGGACGTGGAATTTGATTTCTGAAATATTAGAAAAATCCTTTCCACGGACAACCGTTTGGCGCAGAAAATGTATTTGTTCAAAGCATTGTAAAATCTTATGTTTTTGATCCTACAAATTTAGCATTAAATGATGATTTTATCTTTTGAATTCGTAAAAGAACCAATATACATGTATTCATGTGAAGTTTGAACAGAAAGATTCATCAAAGCATAGGCCTATATGTACTTGCTTGACAGTGAAGCATCCTAAACATGTAAGCTGACCAATTTTGTTTCGGTTGATAGCAAACGGACCTTATGGAGGAATTACTCCACTACACTCTTGTCAATGACCAGCCTGATTTTGTCAAGCTGTTCATCACAGCTGGCAGAATCAACATGAAAGAGTTCTTGACATTCGCCAGATTGAAGGAACTGTATAACAAAGTAAGTATGATATTATAACTGCGCCCGATGTACCACATCGAATCAGAACACTTTTACGCGTAGCTGGTAGGATGTTTATGATTACCTGCTCCTGTGCTGCAACGTTTTATGGTTGTCTTTGCACTCTGCGCATTTGCAGTTGTTTCTGGAAATCAAGTCTTGAACGCACGTTATTGCATTACATTGTTGAATTGGTGGAAACCTACATGCTCAATATGCTAGATCAAAAGAACAATACTAACGCACTTGTGATTTGGGATTCGGATCGACGGGGGTGGAAAATGGCGGTAAGTATTCGGATTCTGATCATTGTGATTATGGTGGGGAAGATGGAGAAACTCAAATTTGCTGACTACAGGACTATACTCAGTGCATGTCCTGGAAATTAGTGCATTATTTATTACATTTTGCATTGCACCATGGAAAAGGCGGGTCATAAGTGGATAATATACACGTATAATGTAACCGATATGAGGGAATATATTCTTGTGTTTGTTAACTGCAGGCAGGAGATAACACTGTGGTCCTCACCATTCTGGAGCGGTACACAGAGAAGACAGTAAGAATGAAATTTAATTTGTTCAGGATAACGTCATCGGACAAAAGCGATAAATATGCCATGTGCGGAGTACAGAGACAGGTGTCAAGGCATGATGTCGTTAATTTATTTTGGCCTTCAGCTATTTTTTTTTTGCTATTCCATAACCCTCTTCGGTGTGCGTAATCAACGTGATATCCATTTTGGGTTAAGTGTATTGAAGATTTCACTTTTTACGACATTTTGATGGTCCGTGCATTTCCGGACAATGTGAGGGCACTGTTGCTGTGCATGTAGGTATGTCAGGGAGAACAGTGTTCATTTTATATGTTTTTCTGTTCACCTTGTGGGCCCAAGGTTTGCTCATTGAAAATATTTTTGGAAGGATGCAGTTATGGCTTATTGGCATTTACTTGCACAAAAATGAATCAACAGAGAAAACAAACAAACAAACAAACCCAAAATTATTTGAAGGGTTGGAAAGGAGACAAAGTACATGGGCACTTTCCACAGATCCGTATCACCTAAGTTTCCGTCAAGGGTTGTTTATGGTAACCATGGAGATTTAGTAATCAATTGTTGGAGACTTTTGAGATACTTGGTGACATCCAATAAACGTACCAGTCCCACGTGACTTGTCAACCAAATACAGACCGGTTACGTGGGACTGGATGTGCACCGGCTGTTGTCTGCAGAGTAGGACCGGTTGGGGGCGTTTTGATGCTGATCGTCACGAAAGCCAGTGCGTTTATATGCGCGAGTGACGACATACTGAAGTCGGCTATAACGCTGTACGGTTCCCAGACCAAACAGATCCCAACTGTGTTTATCAATCGATAATTAATCGCTGTAGTAAACGAATGACCGTGTTGAGATGACCAAAATAGCAACCAACCATTCACCGACAGAAACATACTGAAAATCGCCCCCACTGATAACTAAAGACGAGATGACGTGAGTGAAGTCGAATGGGCAAAATGGGGACCATGAAGGCGCTTTCGCGAAGTCTCTACTTTTGGGTGGGCCGTCGTGAGGCCAAGGATACCGAGCCTGGAGGTAGTCTAGGATGACTTGGCCCCAGTCTGGAGCTAGTCTACCTGCGATTAAATTTTATTCTTGTGTGCTTATTTTTGTAAAGGCTTCCCCTGAGGATTATCTTGCTGGCATCGAGAGTCTCCTGAAAAAGTTGATGTGCGACACCTATGACGCGGATCTAAAACCTAAGACAGGTTGGGGAGCTTTCTGAATCCTACTGTCAGCCTGAAAGTAGATTTGGACTTTCTTTGAAGCTGCCATGTAACAGGTGTCAGGGTGATGTGAAAGGCATTCTACTGCATAATCCCAACATTGTTTTCTGTTATAACAATAACAGTCTTCAGTCCTCCAACAGGTGAAGGATTGAGGACTGTTAGAGATAATAGGCCTACTATAGCAAAATTACCAAGTTACCCCCAGAATAATTCTGCTCCTGGTCACCAGCTACTTGCATGCCTCCAGTTTATAGGCGGTGTGAAGTTGGTTTCTTGTTCCTCGTTTGACATTCGACATTCAATGTTGAACAAGTAACTGTTCCATATTCGAACGTTGAATAAGTAACCGTTTGACATTCAGGGTGCACTCGCCTAAATGGCTATGTAGTGCAACAGGGACAAAAAACAAACTGTTTCCAATATATGTTGATTTGAAGCTTTGCATGGTGAAGTCATGAGATGTATAGTACAATAGGCTTGCCGTTGCAGCATGGACTAAGTCTCTGAGAAGATGTGTGGTTATTAAAAGAACCAGCAAGTGCTGACTCGACTTTTCGGTCAGGATACTCTCGCTGTCCTTTGGAGAGGGTGCTAGACTCAAGACCATAATTTCAACCAGGGAAAAACCTATTTCGACTCTGAATAGGGGTCTCACAACCTTTTGTCATGTTGGAGCATTTCTTTGTCTTTAAACCAGAGTAAAAAACGAATGAATTAAACCAAACTTTTTTACAATGAATATAAAACACCTAAACCCCATGCCCCGCCCAGAGATGATGTCATTGGTCTTTTGAATCAGGGAGGGACTCCTTCCATCTCGGCGTATGTGGTTCTTTGGTGTGGAACAATCCCCGGACGCAAGACTTGCCGTTTAATAGATAGAANCCGCCGAGACAAGAAAGGACGTTTTTAGTATTAACGGTTACTTATTCAACGTTCGAATATGGAACAGTTACTTGTTCAACGTTGAATGTCGAACGTCAAACGAGGAACGAGGAACTAACTTCACATCGGTCAGTTGATACGTAGATCCTCCCGTTTTGCCTCGTTTTGTTATATTGTGTGTGTATGTACCGATTTCGTGTTTTTTAAATTAATTTTTAGCAATTTCCCCGTTTTACGTTTTGAAGTGTATTATATGATTTATTTGTAATGCCATTTTACACAGTTGTAGACCCGAGTCACTTGACTTGGACTCAAGTCGCTATTTTTGACCTGTGACTTTACTTGAAGTAGATGACGCAACTTGACCAGTGATCAAATGACTTGTGAGTGACTTGTGACTGAACCAAATGATTTGTAACTTGGCTTAAACTTGCAAAATTGACTTGTGATTTGACTTGGCGACTTGCAAAAATGACTTCCTACCACTTCTGCCAGTTTTATGACAGCCGTATGGCTGCGACAACGTGCATTATTAATTGAACCACAAACCACCTTAAGTATATATGTATAGTACTCAGCACATCTGTAGTCTGAGTACTGTGTCGGCTGTCGGCTTTATTGACACTCTTGATACACTTTGCTTTGGGAGGACACTATGCTTATTGATGTTTACCCACTATGGGTCACGTGACTTATATATAATTATAAATTCAACATGGGTGACTCAGCCCAACAGGTCTTTTTCTGGACTCAATCCTTAGGAAGAAACTACAATCTATATGACGTAAGTATTGTAATGCAAATGATTGAAATATAGTGCGAGACCAGCAGAAGATGCGCAAACACAAATCATTAGGTAATGTTTATTTATAGAGGGTGCTAGCTTGTTAGCCTTTCTGCAAGCATGAGGCAACTAAAGGAGCCAGGCAGCTGCAGTTAGGATCTCCCCTGGATCAAACTTACAACAATCACAAGACAAATGACATGATGACATAGCGAACATGTATAAGACTAAAAACAAATGACATAAGCATGAACAGAAAAGAGAATGACTAAACCTACAGGGCAGTTGGATAAAAGAAAGTAGGCCATGCAAACGGATGGTTGGGGAGTTAAATTATTTACAAATATAAAATGCAAGACATATTATGCGAAAAGTCTGTTTGAAATTGAAGTAAAACAATGATGAAAACATCGATTTTACAATTAAACACTAATAATAGGAAACTGTTTAAAACTAGCAAGACCAAAACATGAAAGAAAATCTTCCGTGGAACATACACAAGGGTGCGAAAATTCTGTAACGCCGCATAGGCTCATTTTTGGTGTAAACAACACTTAAAGCTCACTTTGTTATGGGAGGGATACCCACTATAGGTCAAATGACTTAGAGGGCGCAAGTGGTTTATTAATTAATCCATCCAACTGAACAATAATGCCTTTATTGGTTTCATACAGCGCATCCGTCAAAACTTGCAGCGAGCGACTTACGCCAATCCATCCACACCGTCAACGATTTCCATCGTACAATTGAGCACACATCCACATGTTCTGGAAAGACTCACACACGCAATATAAATTGTCAATAGTGACACTCAAAATTTTCATGACCTGAATTTTTCTACAACAGGCTTCAAGCATCTTGCGCAGGGGTTTCAAAGGTATCTTATAATTTGTCTATTCATGCAGGGAAGAACACTTTTAAGGAGCCACTGAAAGAGCTGTTTGTGTGGTCAGTTCTCCAGGATCGTATTCCCATGGCTATGGTGTTTTGGAAGCTTGGCAAGCCCTCCGTAGGAGGTGTTCTTGTGGCAAACAAACTTCTGAAGGCATTGTCTGAGCATCAGCAAGTGGTCGATGCCCAGAGAGCAGCAGAAATACGTCAACATTCCAGGTATATCAATGTGGCCAACACTGCAACAGCTGTGGTAGATGCATCGGACAAACACCAGAGCAGTCCCCTGCTGAGCATAGGAATACGGGAATAATTGTGCTTGGCTGGCATTTAAGACTGGCTCAGAAGAATGGACGCGACTAGTGTCCGAGTTGTAGCACATATTTATTACCATTCATAAATACCTTTTTCGTCCGAAAGTCAAGGAAGTCAATATATAACAGATTTCTTACGATTGTGTTGTAGAATTTTACTTTCAATTTTCCGAACACCCCCGTCCATTATATGGTATATTCCTTGTGCAAGTTGTCCAAAAGAATCTCCTTATATGGACTTGGGGCGCGCGTGGTGAGCCGCGCACACACATACTCTTGACCAATCAGAATCGATTAAAGTGTCTCGTATCCATACAGCGTCTTATGTATACATGTAGCTCTATGCTCGTATCCAGGTGCTAGCGCGTAATTTAAGTAGCAAGCATTATCATTTCTTAGCGGGCATTATGAGATGTTAATACACGGTCAAGTTGCACGTTGTTGAATAGGGAGACTGTCTGAGATATTTATAAATGAAAGTTAACCCACAATGGTGTATGCGCCCACGCCGATTTCACAATCAAAAGGTGCATACGATGCGCAAGGGGCACTGGTTTAGTTATCCACCTGCACACTGTAAGCACTTGATGACTGAGATTCAATGACTCTGAATAAACACGGTATATTTAAATGTGATACTAACTTGTGTAACAGAACGGTAATGGATCCATTACTTTAGTCTAGTCCATCATAAGCGCGATCCTCCCCTTAGTGTGAGTTTAACCAGTGTCCCTTCACTCTTTCTGCAACTGAATCAAGCTGGTCAAGCATTTTTCTATCCACAGTGTCAAACGTAAAGGGAAGAAGAAACCAGTTGAAATTTAAACAAGCAAATTTTAGAAGGTCCCGATAATTTTACAGTACAAACTTTAGGGGATTGCAAGCATATGTTGATATCCTGCAACAATCATCTAAAAAGATATGAATCTTTCCAATTTTCAGGGACTTTGAGGAGATGGCCGTCGACATCCTTAAGATGTGTTATGCTTCAGACAGGCGTCGAACATCGAGCCTCCTAGTGCGCATCATGCCGGAGTGGGGCGGTGTCACCTGTCTGGATATTGCTGCTTCAGCGAAGAGTAAACGCTTCATATCGCATGTTGCCGTACAGAACCTGCTGAGCGAGCTCTGGATGGGACGGATGTTTGTCATGACACACGTGTTGAAGGTTAGACTCTCTAACTTCCTGTCCGTTTTCAGGGTTGAATATATACTGTCTGTTACGAGTGTTTAAGTCTTTCCAAGATAGTGTGTCCTACTGTTATATGGTGTTAATGTTATGTATAGAAACTGATTTACGTTTGAATATTAGAGGACCACAATAAAATATACTTTTTAAAGCTTTTTGGTGCCCTTATATTGCACTTCTGTATTTTGAAGATTTTAGCCTGTGGTAATTTCCAGTAGTGTATGGGTTTTCTTTGCGGCCGCGTGAGATATCCGAGATCAGACAGGGCATCAAATTTTTTTTTCACCTCGAACACAAAAACAGAAATAAACGAGGATTTACATTTTTCCTAGAAAAAACAACAGAAAATAGCATGCATGGTCTGAATAACGGTTGGCTTTCTCTGTAATATAGGTAGTAATCTGAGTACTTAGTTGCTGGAAGTTTTTTACATACCTATGTCGGTCAAGCTACTTCTAAACACTTGTAATCCTACTCACTCGAAGCACTATATAGAGTGAAGAAACCTTGACTCTGGCACGTTTGTTTGATGTACTTGAAGGTTCAGAAAAGACTTCACAAACTAAGCATTGCAACAAAGATCCAGAACAAGCTTTTAAAGACTTAGTTTGAGACAAAATATTGGAATGAAAGGAGTGCTTTTGAGGTTGTAGGGAGATATGTTCTGTTTCAGTGCATTTGTGGAAACGATTTTTACCAGATTCCAGGATTTGTTTAATAACTCATACAATTAATGCTAAATACTGTAAGCTCTTGGTTTTGTACAAAGCCATATAGTTTGATATTTAGGACAGATAAAAGCTTTTTGATTGGTGCTTCCATTGCTTTGTGTCGCAGATCGGCCTGTGTGTTGTTCTCCCCTTCCTGTCCATGTGGTTGATCACTTTTCCTGATCATGTAGACGCATCGAGTGTTCAGCTGAAAAAGAAAAAGGTATATCTTTCAAAAGTTGAAACAATCTCCGTTACTCTTTAATCTAGACTGTTGATATTACACCCATTGCTTCGAGCTGTACATCGCGATTAATCACTTTGACATTTTTGTCTGGATTTTCTTCTTTTATTTTTCAAGCATATAATAATTGAATAATTGTAAAATGTCACAAGCACAGTTTAGACTTACTACTTCGTAAGCCTCTTTCTTCCTTAATTTCGGATTTGTTGATATCAAGGGCTTTCTTTAGCCTTTTGCTTGTATTGGGGGAATAATCAATAGGCCTATATCAGATTTTGACTGATCCAAGAAAATGCCATTTCTGCGATGACATCATATATACTCATGTGCACGTGCATGAACTTGGCACTCGCATGCATTTATTTGGTAAAACAGAACACCGTATTGGTGAAATACACAAATGTAGGCAAGTAACATGCTTTCACCACCTGTGCATGAGCGTGGTGCCACCTATTATTCTAGCCACCAAAGACTGCGAATATATTGATATTGAAAAATTTGAATTTTGTAATGCATTACTGCAAAAGTATTCAAGAATCGATTACATGTGTTGCCAGATTTTGTTGTAGGGAACCTACTAAGTGGAGAAACATTCGGTTTTCACAATCTTCAAACAGCACTTTATATGTGCAAATCAAAACTTTTTGTCTGCTCATAAATTTTCAGTAGTGTTTGCCTACTTCAAGGCAAGACTGACACAAACAGGATTCAAATTATAATCTTATTTTTTTCCATTGCAGTGCCTGTCTTTTAAAGTGAATAGTTTACATGGATTACGCATGAAAGAGGATTTAAGATTGGACTGAATTTTGCCAAGAAATTCCATTGTCTAAGTCTAAAGGGACGCCCATGTTGTTTTGATGCCAGGACCCTGTGTTTCCTCCTGCTGCATCGAAGATGGATGGAGCAAAGAAGGACCAAGCAGACGGAATCACGCAAGTTTATACCTTCGATCTTCCTCAGAGTTTGGTGCAGTGGATGTACAATATAGATCCCATAGGTGTATGAAAAGAGCAAGGCTTGGTTAAACCGTATTTGCGCCAAGCAGGACAAGATATTTGTACATATACATGGAAACGACAGTCCGTTGGTGGGAACTCGCTCTTGTGCAACCGATGGTTGTTGGAATGTTTGCTCGTTGCATGTGTGACGCGCACGTGCGAGCTCAGTTAAAAAAACCTCCCACCATCTTTGCCGGTGAGGTTGCACTTCAACTCAGGGCAGATTATCTGCTATATTTTGTGCCTTTGGCACCCGTGCAAAAACTCTATTGGTTTGTGCATTTATCAGTATTGATGTTACCCAATGATCTTGAGAACAACCGAGTGGCCACCCCCTCCAAGGGACATTATGGCTGCATCCGGATTACTTGGCTATAGCTTGAGGTTACACACGACTCTATGAGAACTGGCCGCAGCCACTACCATAGACTCGTGCGTAAGTTCGGGCCACAGCCAAGTACATCGGCCACTGCCCATCATGCATGGAGACCATACGGATCAAAGCCAGGGGGGTGGATTCCCGGAAATGGAAAATAGCACAGCAATTGTTATTGCACTATACACAAGGCAACTCAGTTCAATTGTAGAACAATCTTAAACCTTTGTGAGAAAGTTATATGAATTAAGGCCTAATTTTAAGAACTGAAACCACTATTATTTAAGAATAGTTGACTCTACTAACCCTTAGAGTAAGTAAACTAAAAGTGAAGCTTCTCCAACTTTATTTTGATAGAAGACTAGGCAGCCAACCAGTCGATGTGAACAGACACTGGATCAGTTAAACAGGCTGAAATTCTTCTTTCAAGCACCTGTTGTATCCTTCAGCTACAATGTGGTAAATGTTTGACTCTGTTATGTGTTGTAAAATTATGTTCAATTTGGATAAAGTGTTTCAAATCGACTTACTGCTGTGAAGTGATGTTGTAAAGAATTGCTCAGGCATGAGTTCATGGAAGTATAACAATGTTTGAAGCAATATGTTGACTTAATTCATGATCATTATAAACCTTTTTCCATTCTAGATTTCCCAGTTGTTGTTTCTGGCTCTGTTTAGCTACATCGTCCTCGCCAACTTTAATCAGGAAGTCTCAGTGTTCGAGATAGTTCTCATGGTCTGGGTTTTCTCAATCTTCACTGAGGAAATACGACAGGTATATCTTAACCCATTCCCGCCGTGTTACAAAACACGCTTTGTGTATGAAAAATTAGATGTAGGAATTTCCTATAAATGGCCATATTTTGTCTCCATAGATTCAGCAGGAAGAGTGCAACACATTCCTGCACCGTGTAAGGGCCTGGCTGTGGGGCTATTGGAACTGCGTGGATCTGATCTCCCTGGTGATGTTCGCCGTTGGCATTGGTCTGCGATTCCACCCGGCCACGTTTGATGCTGCCCGCGTTGTTCTGGCTCTAGACCTGATGGTCTTCTATTTCAGGATTCTCCACGTCTGCTCCGCCAGCAAGCACCTAGGTCCCAAACTCATTATGATCACAAAGATGGTGAGGAGCTCCACTTGTTAATTAAGGAAAGAAAAAAACTACAGAGTGCGCTTTAGTTTATTCATGAGCCTTGGGCATATTAAGAGCTTCCAGTGCTTGCCATCATTCCTGGCGAAATCAAAAGGTTCCTTTTTAGCATAGAGAAAGGACACAAAGTTTTTGTCCTGTCTTTAGGTTATGATTTAAATGCTTTTATTCATATATTGGTTGGTTTTTTAAGGACCAAAGAACATTTATTAAATAAATTTAATACTTTTATTAAATATGCATTATTGTATTTTTGTTATTACGACACGCCAACCTGCTAGATGTTGAATGCTATCTGCTCCATGCAGGAACAGGAGATGTTTTGCATGTTTAAGCAGACGGCAACAACGCCCTTTTTGTTTTTAGACCGACTGGTTGGGCGCGTGCAGCTTCGTGGGTATTAATTGGCAGGGGCCTTGTCACCAATTTCTTTGAAAAGGTGGATCGGTCCCCACCAGCCTCATCTCTTCTTTGCTCTTTGCTAGTGAGCAAGAGCAGATCCTGAACCACATTTCTTTGGGGGAGGGCCAAAATGTTTTGGGTAGGCCCGAAAATTTGGATTTTTACATAAGCTTTTATGGCATTTCTTTCTGAGCGCCGACGCTACATTTAGGGTCATTTTCCATGCTTTTGGAAGGAAGAGAAATGAAATATACCAACAATTTCCGTTCTCTCATTTTGCAAATATGTTCGGGGGGCTCATGGCCTCCCTCGGTAGGGGGAATGTATAGTTAATATTACTCTAGAATTTAAATGAATTTCTTCATCACACAGATGCTTGACCTGATCAGTTTCATCTGTATACTGTTGGTTTTTCTGATCGCCTACGGAGTAGCCTGTCAGGCCATCCTCTATCCAAACAGTGCTCATCCTGAGAGCATTGCTAAAGGGGTTTTGTATCGATCCTATTTCCAGCTGTATGGAGAGCTCTTCCTGGATAGTTTTGAAAGTAAGTGAACTTTTAGCAATTGAATGAGAGGCAGAAACATGGCAAAATCAGACAGAATCACTGGATTGCTTGTTATAGATGGAAGCTGTTGTGTGTATATTGCACTAACATTTTTTAAAGGTACGATTTATTGGTGAAAATCTAATGCAAGAAAGAAACTCATATTAATAAATGGGTCATTTCTTGGACTTGCAAAGTGAATACATTCATGATAGCTGTGTCGTGGCATCCTCTTGATGCCTTGGAGTTAGAATGTCACAGGACCAGTGTTGAAACCAAACCATTTCTTTTCAAGTAAAGTCAAGTCGCAAGTCATTTTCTGCAAATATAGTCAAGTCACAATTCAATGTTGCCCACATCAAGTTTCGAAGTCATTTTTTAAACCATGTCTGATGTCACAATTGATACTGTTCTAGTACTGTTTTCTGACATCCTGTATTGATGATGTGACTCGTGACGTTTACCTTATTTGATCGATTGTATTTTTTTCTATTTTTCTTGTATTCAAAGAAAACGTGGTAATGTAACAAGTCCACTGTGGTCAAGCCCCAATCAATTGTCTTTACGTCAGAAATTTAAATTGACAACACTGATTTTGATTGACTATCGCTTTTACAATGCCCCCTTGAATGCATCCAGGAAGAGTTAATGAGAATCACAGAAGGTAATAATCAATCGTTATCTATGCAAAAAGAAGCAAAAAATTCTTTCACTGAATTTAGTGGAGGGCTTCACTCTTTCCGGAGACACAAGACCACACCTGCATGTGGCCATGGACCTAATACCTTTCCCATTGGTCTGTTTTTCTTTTGACACAAAATAGGCCAATGCGCTGTGAATGAAACGCAGTTGGCAGCAGGTATGGA